AAACAAAAATGGAAAGGCATAATCCAGATTTTAATCCTGCCAGCAAAGTGAGTAAGTAACTGAGAGAACAAAGAGGTTCTGTCTGTTCATTACACTACAACACGACTGGAGGCATTTAATAATACGCTTTATTGTTCTTTGAAATAATTATACCACTATGAAACATAAATAGTTCAACTTATTATCAATCTTTGATAAATTAGCGAATTTTCCATATATGGAATACATTTTTACCGTAGGCCTCATGGTAAGATATAGCCTAGGGACCAATTTACCTTTTCGTTTTGAGGTCCGCAGAGACCAAAAATTATACCGATTTAAATGTTTATATATATATACATGTGTGTGTGTGTGTGTGTGTGTGTGTCCATTGCTGTAGCACGATAACTCGAGTAAAAAATGATCGTAGAAATGATTACGTTTATTGGAATGAGTTCGTGAACCACGATCGAGCTATGAAAACGAGGTTTTCCCATTTTTGCCCTCAGAACATGAATACAATATTTTCTTAAACCATTTTGTAAAGCTTAAAATACAACTAATTTAGTACATTGAAGCGTTGTTTTACGCTAAATGGTTACGGAGAACATTTCATGGATTTTAAATTTGAAATTCCCATGTTATTCATATAGATGAATAAGTAGACCGTAGTAGTTTGTCTGTTTATGGATATATGTTGATCAAATGTTGAATTTTTTTATATTCCTTACTAATTTATTGACATTTTACTAAAAACACCCTTTATTTCATATAGCAGTGAGTTTACTTAAGAATGTGAGTCACTTGCGCAAGAGTTGTGAGAGTAATCTATTAAATCAGATCACTTAATGGGTAGGCCTACTTTCATTAATCCTTAAGTGACTCTTTTTTATAGGAGCTGGAGTTTATTGAGCGAGACGAAGCCGACGTCGGGCACCGAGCGAGCGTTGATAATACACTTTAACGAGAAAAATGAAAGAGGGTGTAAAAGACACTTTGGGTCCAAATTATGAACTACAGGGCGTTTTTCCTTTTTACCCAACACAATTTAAAAGTACCGAAAGACATTGTTTAAGAACAAACCCAGCTCATAATTTGGCACCCATGGTTTCTTTACTTCATTGCCCATCAGCTTGATATGCATCGTTGCATTGTTTCCTAAACGGTTTAGTGTTATTTGGAATAAATTCAATCAATAGACAATGATACCTCCGATATTAATTCCATAATTTTCCTGTTGAAAGAGTATAAAAATGTTACAGAAATATATCTTAATTGTAAGATATAAAATAATAAATGAACGCTAAATTACCCATTACAAGATAGGTTAATTGTGTAAACAGTCTTATACTGTAGTTTATTTAGCTTAATCTTTTGGTGAATTTTTTATATAGGGACTGAGCTATTACCTAAGTCAAATGTATATACCTGGACCCGGGGCCGATTGTATTTTTCTTAGTGATGTCCCCAGAGGCCAAAACACTAATATATGTATGTATATACACGTCCGTTAGCACGATAATTTGAGTAAAAATTATCCGATTTTAATAAGATTCTGTACAAACGTGGGAAACTACGTTTGTTTTAATTTTTAACCATACAGATAGTGAGCTAAAGGTAGATCTTACAAACTAATAAAGGGAATGTTAGTTAATTAATTTTGGCTGACATTCGACAATAATGAGTGAAGTTTTAAATCTTTCTGGCGACTCGAAACTTCTGAACCGTACATTATCACTTGAAAATAAGGTCAGTAGCTTTTAAGAAAATTATCACTACATTAAATAGAGTAAACATGTTTATGTGTTTATTAGTCGTAGACTCGTAAAATAATAAGGTTGGTATAGGTTCATTCGCTTTTCAAATTGACAACGAAATATTGATTACCAAAGTCAGTTTTTAGAAGAATAATAAAGTCAGTTTTTAGAAGAATTACGAAGGTTTTTTTCTAATACATAATTAGAAATAAAATTTAATACGAATCCGAAATTAATTATTGTACGTAGTAGAGTACAGTCAACGAATTGTCGAGAATTAAATCTTTTTTAAGCTCTGCTTTTGGTATAAAATAATGTTAGAACATTTTTTTTATTAACCATTTTGTTAAATTAGTTTTCTTCATTGCCTCTCTGGTTGAAGTTTGAAGATGTTACCTTAAGATGGTGATATAAATCAAGGTGTTTTAATTAAAGTACCCCTCGGTTTCGAGGTTTGAAAAACGGTGTATAAATCCAAGATAAAATACATTCTTTGCAGGGTAACGACGCAACTAATGATAACTTTGAGAATATTCAAGACCCCAACAATGATAACTTTGCTTTTGTGCGGCTTTGTATTTCACAAAGTCACGTTTAAACGTTTAAACCTTCGATATTTGTCTTGGTAGTGAAAAAGCTCTAAACTTCATCTCTCAACTTTCATAGAATTATTTTATATTTTTTTTACACATCTGCAACGAATTGCATTATGAGGAAATTCTAAAATCTGCAAATAATGCTCTGTGGCAAATCTTTATTTAATAGTTAAGTATTTACTAAGATGGTCCCAAATTATGCCATGATTATGTAGATAGTGGTAAAAAGCAAAATTTATTGCAAACTCTGAATGGAAAATGTTGGTGATGTGAAAAAGAAATGAGGTCTTATCTTCCATTCATATATTACTAGACCAGCTTTAATAGAATTTTTATTCTTGAACTGGTGAAGTTCTTTTGTTTGTTAATTTAGTGACAACTCTACGTATTTGGAGGTAATTTGCTCATTGCTCAATTATTATTCTTTTAGCAAATCTTCCTGAAATTTTGCTCGAATGTTTAGGTTGGGGTAAAATTGAGTTCGCCAACCAGATACTTCTAAACGAGCTAAAAATGTTGTTTTCACAGGAATACGTAGAATAAAATAAAGGGAATTTACATATATTCCGTGTTTTTCTAAGTAGTTTGGTTACTTTTCTGTAGAGCTCCAAACTCGAGTGTCCAAACTTTTTCCCCGACAGCAGCTCCGAACGAACTAGTTCCCATGACGAACTAACTCTCCCCGAACGAACTAGTTCTCATAACCTTATGTTCATGGGAATGGGGTGTTGAAATTTTTCTATAATTGATCATCTTTTATTTTTCACCCTTAAAATATAAAAATGCCTAATTTGTATTGCAGTCACTGTGTATAGCTTATTAAATTTGCTTAGTTTGCAGGTTTCCTGCATCGGAGGTATTTACTCTTCAAAAGGCCCAGGACAAGGACACAGCAATTCCTTCTCCTTTCCAGGATGGTAGGATCTAGTCCTTTTGTGCAGATATATTTTCCCAACACCAAAACATAGCCCCAGTAGTTAACACATGGAATATCCTTCTATTTATTCAAGCCAGATTTTACATTATTGTCATTGTGGTTGGTTAATTCACTCACAATCCTGAATACATTAACATAGAGGGTGTGCTTTTAGACGCGAACCTTTATTGATGTGCCGAAAGCCCATTCACACACTCACGATTGGGGACGCCATGACAATATTGTTTAAATTTTTGGATATACATATTATTTACCGGTTGTAAAATACTGCACACACAAAGACTCCTCGGTTCTTTAAGAGCCAAACAATTAACAATCGCACTATGTCACCTGTTGACACAAAATTACGGAATGAAAAATTAACCTCTGTGAGCTCAAATATACCACTACTAAATAAATAGAGTTTGGAAACTAACAGATTTAAGATAAAGGAATTAAAAAGGAATATAAGTTGGGGAAAATCTAAGGAATCTCCTAGACTGCAATCGTACTTTATAAGACTTGATTCGTTGGTTTTTTCCATGTCAATCACCTGTATGGTATCTAAATTGGAATTGCAGTTTCAATTGTTTTTTTGTGTGCTTATCTTTAACTTTTTGAAAATGTTTTTGGCAGTTTAAAACGAAGATTCAGACCTTTTTCTTGAGTTCGCATGCGAAGTATAGCATATTTTAATTAATAAAGCACAGGGATCATTTTTGTTTTATAATTACACCATTAGAATTCAATTTAAGAAAATTAATTTTTCAAACATCTGCCAACAACCTTTTTGTAGACGTAATAAATTTGTTCTAGCAAATTCATTCTGTCATTTTATTTCATATGTACGTGAATAGACAAATTCGCTCATGCAATCATATTTTGCTGTTCTTGCTGAAATTAACTGAATGCGATTGTTCTACTTGTTAAGAGAAAGTCAACTTAGTTTTTCATGATGACGTGGAAACGGAGATTAGTCAAATAATCAACATTCTTCTTTCCATCAAGTAAAGATGTTGTCAAAAAGGTCCTCTAACTTAGAAAACTACATGGATAGGAATTACTAAGATTGACGAGACAATAATAAATCATACTTTAATAATCTGTAATTATAAAAATATATAATTATGTAAATGTATATCAATATATTTAAAAGCTTATGATGTAATATGATTGATATATAAGAGATTTCTAAATTAAATACATGTTTTGAAGTTAACATTTCTTTAAATATACATATTTTAGATATACATATTTTAATAATAGTTATTTACTCATAACTTGATTTATTTAACTGTTAAACGAAACTACAAAACGACCTTTAGTGGGTTTTCCAAGGTAGAATGGTGACGGTCAACGGTCCAAGCACAAAACAACAAAACCTGACGTTTACGGTACAAATTTTAAAATTTGTCAACACTTACAACATTTTTAACTTTCTGCTTATACAATTTAACATATAACATATAATACACCATCTAAATACATTCTTCAGAGATAAGAATCGTATTAGTAAAAAAGATCCATTTAACAGAATATAATACTAATTTTAGTATTATGTTATGTAAAGAACGGAGTCTCTCCCTCAAAACAGCCTATGGACTCCCATCCCGTTGGCTCATGTAGCACAAACAAAAGTGTTGTTTTCGACGTTGAAAATAGTACGGTACGATTTTTTTTAAGGATATATGTTTTATGCAATAGGTTCGTAAAATTAGCTTAGTTCAAAGACATAAAAGCCCTCGGGGGAGGAGCCACGAAGGTAATGCTTCCTCCTTCCGAAAAACTAAATTTTAAATCTAACCAAGATTTGACAAGGTAAAGACTTATTAACACTTAAGCATCTGAAAATGAACACAAGATTTTATATTCCAGTGCAACTGATGAGATATACAATACAACATATGTTTTTGTTTCGGTACAGTATTTACAATTTCAAGCAACTGAACATGTGACTCAGAATGTCTTGTAAGAAAATGTTAGTCAAGGTAGTAGAAGCTATCAGGTGTCTGTAGCTCTTTCACTGCTGCTCGAGGCTACCGGAACCAAACTGACACCTGTAGTAGAGGCTCCAGTGTCTTGGCCTCCTGTGGCACTGGCTCCTCCACACCTCATGGCCTCCGGTCAGTCAGGGTCATAGCAACAGTCTATCCTTACCACCCACAAAACAGCAATCAGGGTAGTCACTGACAGTATCATCTCTACGACCGCTACCAGGATACTTGTCTGGGTCGTCCTGTAAACATAACCTCTGGTCAGTCATAGCAGCAGACTATCCTCACCACCTGTAATACAGCAATCAGGGTAGTCACTGACAGTATCATCTCTACCACCTCTACCAGGATACTTATCTGGGTCGTCCTGTAACCATAACCTCTGGTCACTCAGGGTCATAGCAGCAGACTATACTGACCACACATTTAGCAGTTTTTGTATACTACTAAGTTAAAGGTTCTGTTATTAGTCTTGTTTTCTTACAATAGACCGTCTAATTATGGTACCCAAACCTATTCCTGAAATAATTATGCTATTAGTTGTCAATATAATCCTAGTTTATTTACTATTTGTCACGTATTTAACTTTCTTTGACGACAAAATAGGTTTGAAAGTAATCCCCAAAGTGATACAATGATGGTCTGTTTGGTGAACATACAACGGGCAACTAAATACATACATGAGGAAATGTTTAAGATATTTTAACGATATTAAGTCTTTACACGGTAACGAAAAAATATACCTTGAGTTGTCTGTGTTCTGCAGTTGGAACAACGCCTGGAAGATTAGAGCTACATGAAGGGAGCAAGCTGCCAGCCAGAGAAGAGTAAGGGACGTCGCTGCAGCAGGACTTGGACCCAGAAACCTGAGGGAAGTATAGGGGCAAGAACCTGGACGATACCCTCCAAACCCACGACTACTGTGTATGCTGCCACCTGGATATAAATAATGTGACGTTATGAAATTATTCAAAATGTTCATAAACGCAGTACAAAATAAGCTAATTGTGTGAATTTTATTTAGGAGAAAAATACCTAAATCCAATAAACGTAATACCTAATAAAGTACAAACAATTTTGGAACGAATTCATGGGTCAAAATAACACAAAAATCAATAATCACATTTTATTCAAAAACACATGGTTAACATTCGTCATTTAGGTTTTTTGTTGCATAAACTGTAATTTTTAAAACCATTTAAGATTCGTTTATGAAGATTGTTATTTTTTGTTGTTTGTCCTAGGACGCTAGGCACGGGCCTGGGATTGTTTTTCGCATTACTTAAGGCTAGACCTAGAGGTTGCGGCATTATCACTTAGATAAAATCCATTGGTGATTTGGCGGGATTTGAAACCGGGACCTCAGGAACGGAAGTCCCGCTCTCTAACCACTAGACCAGCTCGCTCTTCAATGAAATTCGGTATACGATTGTAAAAAATCATAAGCTATTTGAAAAAATAATTGTAAAAAATAGTTTTATATTATAAATTACTTTAAAGATTTGAATTTAAGAAACAAAACAAATTGGAAGATATTATATATTTTTGATTTTAGTTGTATTTAGAACGATTGAATCTATTTCTAAATGTTTTGTATTCATGGGACACCCTGTATATCAGAAGGGAACGCCTTAATAGTCTTTGACAGGCTCCATGTTTTCTCGAATGCGATACATTTTTCAAAAGAGTAAAACATCAAAGATTTGAAAGAAAGCATTGTCTTATTGAACCACTCTCAAATTTTTATAGTAATGAAAAAAGTTAGAAACCTTTAATCGATAAAGAAGTTTCTGAAAGTAATATTTAAGAAATGTTATGTGTAAAAAGTGATTATTTGTATTCTGAGAGATTTTGCCATTTTACCTGCTATGTTATTGTAATTCCTTTTATCATTATATTAATTCAAAGAACAGAAAGTAAATAAAATACGTTTAATAATACTTGAAACACATATTGACACTTAAATTGTTGACTCACAAGACGGTAAATCCATATAAAAGATGTTAAGGGTGATCGATTCCAACTGTCATTCGCTTATTGGGTCTGATGATGATTGGAGTGTCCAATCGAAATAAACTACCACTTAACATCTTTTATACGTGTTTACCGTCTTGTAAGTCAACAGTAAAAGCGTGTTATTAGACGTATGATGATAAATGATGAATTAATAACAATATTTGAATGTAAAAAATATGAACATACAACAAACAATCCCATGAATTATATCCAGATATAAAAGTAGTAAGTTAAATACTATCAATTTAGCAACACATTGTGAGAAAATAACATCAGTAAAAAAATAGAATTTATGAAAAACATGAAATGCAATAACAACTGGAGCGTACTCGATCAAAATTAAACTAAATTAATCTTTATACAAATAAATTGTTTGGAATACAAATGAATAATTACAATGCGTCTTCTTGTAACGAGAGAAAAACAACAACAGATGATTAGACAAAGAAGTGACAAACAATGTACAGTACTTACTGTATTATCCATTTATATCTCATTAAAGATGTCTTTCTTCTGTAGTAAACATTAAAAATATATTAAATGACTCTTCTTTTTTCGTCGTACGGTTACATGGCTCTACTTTGAGCGTAGGTTTTCGCAGACTGCCACAGAATCCATCCATGTTTTCTGTGTCTATTGCACCACGTCCTCAGGCAAAATTCACTGCAGACGTGTCTTTATTTCAAGTGCAGTGAATTTCGTCTGGCTCCTTTAATTTGAAAGATCAATATAATTGCTTAGCCATTTTTGTTAGTAAAATTACTTGAATTCAGGCAATTCAGAACAATAAATTAGAAATGATTTACTCGCCTCTAAATTTTGAAAGTTGAGAAATTTATTCCAAAGCCTTCAGTTATAGATGGACTTATGTGAGTATATCAACAGTCATCGAGAGAGTAGTTAACGCAACGATCGCTTAAGGACTATTTACAAGAGTTGCGTACACTACTTCACCTACAATCAATACTCATAACTTAGAGAGGTTATGTTTTCGTTTATAGCATCTCATCGCCACTGATAGTTATGCAACGACTCATTGTACCAACCACTAATTGAACCACTCATTAACAATTAAATTGGTCTTAATAGCTGATAAGTTGACATTTGAAGCATTACAATTTTACTTCTTTTCTCTTAATTCTTAAACATCATTGTCCGTTGACCGTTACCAGTGCTGTAAATTAAAAAAACATTGTGGTAAAGTGAATCTTTTCAATTCTAAGAACTGAATTGAAAGGGCTAGCTAGTTTAAAAACGGTCGTGGGTAAACATAATTTACAGGTTGGTTTGTAAGCAGGGACATCGAATTACAACGATTTTTGTTAGAATCCACCGAAGATAATATTGTTCTCCCAATCTGTATATGAAAAGCTTCTAAATACAGTGTTTCCTGTAACTGTGTAAATAGTATTATTTTAGGACCAATAAAATTCAACCAACATGACACTTGTCTGCAGGCATACACCGGCCTGTCTCAGCATTTGTCGTTTAATTAAAACGAAAGAGTCCATTAGACCCTACGATTAGCGATTTCATTTCCATTTTTAAGCATTCCAACCTTATTCTTGTAAAAGCTTTTAACACAAACCTTATTGACTTTTGTTTCAATTTGAATAATAATTACTTGTAATTAGTTGCTGACATTTAAAAGGCAGTAATGTATTTTAGTTATAGTGTATACTTAACATAAAAGAAGACCGTGATTCTTTAGAAAGACACGTTGAACTCTATTTAGGAATATTTTAACTAATGGAACTTTGACTAATTAGATATTATCTAGTTATATTCAGTATCATTGAATACATTTGGTGTGATAAAGCAACATCACATTAGACTTTTGTAGAAATATTAAGTATATATATTTTTTTTTCTGGGACGCTAGGACAAAAAAAGGTTTGTCGCTACACAAATAATATAAGGTAGCTTTATAAGAGTTTTAAAAGCTTCAAAACTCAAAATTGTCAATGACCATTTTCGTCTATAATATGATGCCAGCAAGAATACGAAAACTAAGCCTGGTAATTTTAGATGTGTTCTTGGACTTACCAGCAGCTAGAACTGTGAAGATGACAGTAGGAACACAAAAGCTTAGTCTAGTCATTTAGATTCGTACTTGGACTTACCAGCAGCTATAACTGTGAAGACCCCAGCAGGAATACCAAGGCCTAGTCTGGTGATGGAGGTGCGATCCTCAATGCAGGACACTGAGCCCATTAGAAGAATACATATTCCACAAACTATCTGTAAATTAATTTTGGTATTAGATTTCTTAACAATTCGTTTAGGTAATACGAAAACTCAGGGTACATATCTTTATCATTCTTCCAGTACTTTCGTTAATAGAGGAACTAATCAACTAGTAAAATACAAAATGTTAAAGGAACGAGACATTGTTCAATGCGTAAGCCTCAGTTGCTGATGAAGAATGAAAAGCGATTGGTGGATTCCAGTAATAATTATTTATTTTTATGAGGTTGATTAATTGACCTGGTAAATTTGATCGGGACCTGAACGACAGGAAATAAATCATATGTACGAAGAAGGCATGAGACAAGAAAGCCCTACAAAATGTCGAAAGACTTGGAAGCAGCAATACTTAAAACAAAGAAACGCTATGTTGAAATATGACAGCGCAGTCCGACAACAAGGTTCTCTTATGAATGTGTGTTGAGTTCAAACACATACCGGTATGGCTGCAAGCACGTTGTTACATGAAACCTGTTTTAACAATCAATTACTGACCCAAGCATATTAAATATGGGTCAACATTGTGTTTTTGTGAAGAATCTAGTGTATGGAATGTCCTGATAGGATAAGAGAATGTTCTTGTTTTCGAACAGGGTGTTCTGGAAACTGCAGTATTGCTGCTCTTACAGAATTCTTTAAATATATATTTGTACTGTACATACATGCTCAATATCTAATACTGGCAATATTAGTCAATATACCTGCAACACTCTTAACCTAAGGACTTGAGAGAATGGATAGAGAGAATCAGTTGGGGCCCAAAGTGAAGTAATTTGAAGTTTGGTTACAATCGATGGAAGGCCTTCTGTAGTTCTGGTGACGTCACTGACCACGGAAGCCTTGCGGTAGTTCATCCTGTCACAGAAAGTAAAGAAGAGTTAGGCAAAAAATATTGTTGGAGATCCTTGGTAGTTCTAGGGATGCCACTGGCCATGGAAGCCTTCCGGTAGTTCATCCTGTCACAGAAAGTAAAGTAGAGTTAGGCTTGATAATATTGTTGGAGATCCTGGTGGTTCTAGTGACGTCACAGATCACAGAAGGCTTCCGGTAGTTCATCCTGTCACAGATCAAAGAGTTAGGCTTAGTAATATTGTTTGAGATCCTTGGTAGCTCTGCTGACATCACTTCTGTTGGTTTATCCTACTACCACGCAATCCTGTACATGTTGATAAGATTTTTAGTCTTTGGAGACTGTTGTAAACTTCTTTCAAGTTTTAACTCAAAATATGCATTTCTCGAACGATCTAATATGTCAGTTAAATGAATGTTCCTTCCAGATATTTAGGAGAGGTAGTGTGGCAATAAAATGTGATGCTGCAACTATTCATGATATTGATGCACATTACATTACATTACATTACATTACATTACATTACATTACATTATTTGTCATGAGAGCCGAAGCCCCCTGACTACGTACCCGGTACCTGTCGTGAGACTTACCCGGGCCCCATGATGTAGGCCGAAGCTTACGCATCAACCTTTAGCACATCATGGGCGGATGACTTAAGGTCATCAGGCTCGCCGGCTGCCGAAGCAGACCCTTCGGAAAGAGGGTTGCCCCTCAATCCTAACCAGGGATTCCGGCTGCTTGTTTAAGCGTCACTCCATCTGGGTTCCACTAGGTCGGGACCTAGAGGACCATAATGAAGCGCCCCGACGCATTTAGTGCAAGCAACACTCGGGACCTATCTAATCCCTGACAGGTAAACCCGCCATCAATAGCCAGAAGGAAGGGGACCGTCAGCACGCTGACGGGGGGAACCCCAACCTCCCATTTACACCACTACCCGATCGAGGCCTTACCCAGTTGCTGGGAAACCAAAGATAACCAGAGCGATAGATCCCCAGATACCCCTGGCGGGCTCGGACCCAGCACCCGATCTACTTCGTTTGCCCGTCAGACCCAACATCACTGCCAGGCCATCAGGGTTTCCCAAAAGGAGGCAGGTATAGAAGTGGGACCCACCCGGATGAACCTATCCACCAGAGGTGGCGACACCCTTGACTCAATTGAGGTTCCGGGAAGAACCCCCCACACTCAAGATAACCATACCGTCCGTGCTCAGAGACAGGGATTGGTTTGCATAAGTGCCTACAAACCGTTGCCCTCACACTGCGGAAAGTTACGTTGCCCTTGAGTGTCCCCGTGAGCTACGGGTACTTGCCCGTTTTCACCTCCAGGAAAGGTTACTTCTAAAGTCGAGGATTTGCCACACTAAATGCTGGTCGCACACAACAAGCAGGCCGAAGCCCAAAGAACCACAGACACAGGTAGGTTAGAGAATATGATGCACTTCCATCTCTCCTAGAGCTAAACACCCCTCCATCCTGGATAAAGGAATGTCACTGGGACCCAATGCCCAGTCGTCCATGTCTGTGGCCTACTTGAAAATGCCGATACCAACACCGAGCATTTACCTCCCCTTTGGGGGCTAGGTATTTCACCTCCCAGGACGAGGCTACTTCCAAAGTCGAGGATATGCCTCACAAAATGTCAGTCGAACACAACAGGTAGGACGAGCCCGAAGAACTCAGTCACAACCACAAGCTACAGGCAGGTGAAAGATCTATGAACTTAATCAACACTAGCAGAGCTGAACACCCCACCACCCTGAATGGAGGGAATGTCACTGGGTACTCTCACTTTGGGTAAATATTTATGCACAGTATAATAAAGAAAACATACGATTATTTTCTCCATGTTTTGTGATTCATAAAATAACCGCTTCGTTGGCTGGCAAAACTACACTGGCCAACGTTTCGGTTGGATTGCTGCAACGCATCCGAGACGTCAGTATTTTCGTCATTTCGTCGGTAATCTGCCAAAGATCAAGATAATACAGTCTGCATTGACGTTGTGTTTACATTAAAATTAAAATATATTTATTCATAATATTGAATTTGTTTGGCCTCACCAAGTTTACAAAACTTGTCGGAGAGGTCCAATTAATGCAAAAGCAACAAATTTTACATTATTTTTTTTTTTTACAAAAATTTATAATTTTACTACTAGTCCAGGCAACGAAGACAAAAAAATACGAAATAGAGGAACAAAATTATGTTCAAGCCACAGGTGTCCAGGCATTTGGTGCATTTTTAAGGGAAGGGTCCCCTAACAACATACCTACCCTAACTGACAACTTTAATTTTAAAAAAATATTACAAATATTACTGTTCTTGTGAGCTCACCAACGCCTTAATTTTGGACCTTATTTTGTATGATTAAAGTGTCAAATTGCTGGAAATGTTTTCAAGATAACGAGAATATCGGTTATATTGACCTTAGATGGATAGGCTTTGCCACTTTTAGCATTTATTTTTCATACAAATTTACATGTATTTCTTCTGTAAGAAATATTTGAATAAGATATTTGTTATATCTTGTAAATGGTTGAATCGAAATAGTTACATCACATACTTTAATTTTAGGAAATTTAATCTTCTTCAATTTGCTAATTTAGTATTGTATACAAAAATTTGATAGTTTTAAAGCTATTTACTAAAGCCCTAAAAAAGGGACCTTTAGCTAGGCTCTCTTAGCTCCACTCCAACCGGTCAGTACTTTTAGGATGTTGTTTAGGGACCCTTCCCGTCCAACGGTACCAAATTTGGCGTATACATGACTTTTTTCCACCACAATTTCTTCGTTGCATGGACTATGGCAGACACGGCACTATGGCAGTTGACGGTGGTTTATGGCAGACACTTCATAAAACATAGAAAACGTCACAAGTGAACAAGAACACCAACTTGTCCGTCCACTCACTTAGCAATAAGATTTTATCACCTACAGGTCTATTATATATGGAGCATACGAAATTGCACTAAATTATGGCAATACGAGAAAACGGTAAAAACAAAAAGAATAAACCAGTTTCGTTAAGAACCACAAACGAGGCAAATATTAGACGTAGCATTGTGATTTTAGAAAATACACTGAATATAATATTTTTAACGGATAATATAGTGCACACTCAGAGACACTTATGGTTTTATCGGAGTTTGATAAAATCGTAAATAAATAAATATAATAACTCACTTTAAAATTGCATATTCAACTGTAATAACGATCCCTTTAAATCAAACTTGCATTTCTTTGGTAATATTAACCGTCTAGTACAAAGAAATTAAAGAAAAGTCGTAACTTTATCTGATTACACACGCTGAAAAGCAGTTTTAAAATTCAGGACGCGTATTGCGCTTGAAGGAATTTCAATTTCATTGAGTAATTAGATTTTATTGCTTGTCAGACATGAAAACGTGACAATCGTATCTTTTCGGTTCCATAACTTTAATTTTAAAGGTTGGTACTCGTGTTTGAATGTAGACTCGTTATTTAAATACCAATATTAATTTGAAGGGTTTGTACTTTTTAAATAAATATTTCAAAATGTTATAATAATTTGTATCTAAAAGAACCTCCACGAGAAATTTGCAAACTATGCGAATTCCTAGTTGCATAACCGGACTAAACAGTTTCATAATAAAAATGTAAATTTAGAGTGCTATGCCCAGTGCTTGGTCTAAATAAAATCGCTTAGTAAGTACTCATGTTTGTGGCTACGAGGAATATATTTTTAAAATCAAATTTCGAAACATCTAATTAAATATACAAATTTCCTACGGATTAATGAATAAAAAATCTAAAGAAAATTATTTTCTCTCATTTGTGTTGGTAACATGAAAGTCAAGTACTAAAATAAAATATAAAATAATTAGGATGAATAAATAAATAAATGCAAAACCTTATTTAATAGACTATTTCACAATTAATCTCGAAATTCCAAACTATCTAGTACAGTTGTCGTTTCTTTATCTAAAGAGGTACAAGACTCTGGCTTACCTTAAGTAGATAATACTTTACAAGTTCAACTTAAAACGCCCGTTGGTTGTAGTAGATTTTATAAGTAAGATTGTGCCTTCTTTGGAACTCCCTACTCCAACAAAATCATGCATTTGGATTCACGTTGACGATGGCAGCCTGCTGGTAGGCACAGAGGACTGCGATTTAACGAAGTTAACCTGTATAATTCGTGTACCTAATGAAATATATTGAAAAGTTAGACAAATTTATTGTTATGTCTATTTGAAATAGGTTAGTCGGTGGCTCAGTCGGTAGCGTAACGGTCTTCGGGTCCAAGGTAGCGATGTCGTGGGTTCAGATCCTGGTTACTGCCACAAACATTTTATCAGTACAGTTCATTTTCGTGGTGTACCGGCTCACCCCTTGTTTTGCTGGATACGTTACACGCACGGGCAGTTAGTATATGTGGATGGGCAAATGCAAGGTTAAACGAAGCTGCCAACCTCTTAAAAAAGAAAATTATTTACACTGCTTACTTTTTTTGTAAGTGTCTGTCTCCCGTTTGACTGGAACTAGATAGGAAACTGTATTGGTTAAAAATGAAGATTTATTGAAATCAAGAATTTGAATTTGAGGCAGTTAAGTCGCCGTAGTGGGATATAGTTGGAATGTCCATTTTAAATATAGTTGTTGTTGGTGAGCATGTGCAAGGGCAGGGTTTGCTAAGTGGCTATGCCCCCCCCCTGGAAAAACCTTTTTTTTATAACTTTGTATCCCGTTACTGACCTCTGAAGGGTGCCTCCCCAAGAGGTGGATTAGGGAGAGCTTCCCAGAATATGATGGGTAACAGAGAAATAAAACAACCGGTGTGGACCAAAATCAGTGCTGGGAAGAAGTGGGAGCTTCAGTGGCCAAGGGGGCAGCCCCAACAGAAAACCGATGTCTGGAGGAGAGAGCCAGACTGGAGGTGCAGATAACCAATTTATCTCGAATGCTCTTAAGAGTCTTATCAGTGGTAGCCATATTGGATTTTAGTCCCATAAGAGCA